GCCAAAATGGGTGGTACAGTCAAGGCATCCATAGCATTCAGTGCAGAAAGGAGTTAATGTGGGCCAATAAAGCCACAGGCTTCTGGAAGGAGGCAAAATTAGAGAAAGAATTAGAAGGTGAAAGAATTTGGGTGGTTAGAAAGGAAAGGGAAGAACACTCCCTTTCCTGCAGGAAACAGAAAATGGCATGAGTACATCTTGGAGTGGGGAATGAACAGAGCAAATTGGAAGAATGGCTCTAGATATAAGGAGAAATGTAATTAAAAAGAAAAAAAATGTAACCTAAAAAAAAATTCACTTTGAAAACAGTTGCCATCAATTCTGATCCCCGATTCTGATGTAACCCCAAGTACGTCAGAGTAGAATTACGCTTTCAGCAGCTCTTATCCTTGAGAAATAGGTTGTTAGCTCATGGACTCAGCCAATCCTCTAGTTAACAAACAAGCACTTAACCCAGGGTAGCCTTTCAACATCAATAAAAAACCAAAACTAAAGAGGCAGTTGTTTGAATAGACTGAAGATACTGTGAGGTTTAAACTCAGGAAAAGTGAACATCAGAGCTGTACCCTTTCATTATGTTTATTCAATAATCTGTACGCTGAGTAAGTAATCTAAGAAACTAGATTATATAAAGAACACAGCAACAGAATTGAAGGAAGACTCATTAAAAACCTGTGAGATGCAGAAAGAGCATTCTTGCTTGCTGAAAGTGGAAGAGGGCTTGAAAAACTTACTGATGAAGCTCAAAGCACACACAGGCTTCAATACAATGGACTGCATCTTAATATAAAGAAAACAAAAATCCTCACAACTGCACCAATAGACATTATGATAAACTACTGAAGCTGCCAAGGATTTCATTTACTTGGATCCATAATCAACACCCATGCAACAGCAATGCAAACATCAAACAACTTATTGCACTTGGCAGATCTACTGCACAAGACCTCTTTAAAATGTTAAAGTGTAAAGATGTCACTTTGAAGATTAAAGTCTGCCTGGCCCATGACATGGTGTTTTTAATTGCCTTATATGAATAAAAGGTCAGACAATGAATAAAAGCAAAGAATTGATTTACTTGAATTATGACGTGGCAAAGAATATTAAATATAGCATGGACTGCCATAGTAAGCAGCAGAATATAATAGAGCAGACTGTGTGAAGTCAGAAATATACCATGGATTACAAGACTAAGGATTCCTTATGACACTGTAGGTTAAGAGTCAGCCACTCCTCAGGAGAAAGATGAGGCTGTCGGCTCTCAAGGAATCACATCTCAGATACTGAAATCAACTTGATGGGAATATAGTTGGTTTTTGTTATTGTTGTTGTTGTTGTGGGGTTTTTGAGCCAGCATGAACAAATCAGTCTTGGAAGAAGAACACCTAGAATGTTCCTCAAAAGCAAAGACAGCAAGACTTCATCTCTCGCACTTTAAACATGTTATCAGAAGATACTAGTCCCTGGAGAAGAATATCACGCATTCACACAGTGGCTGCAACAATGGGCTCAAACCCAGTAATGATTGTGAAGATAGTGGAGGACGGAGCAGTGTTTCCAGCTGATGTACATACGGTCGCTGTGAGTCAGAACTCACTGAACAGCACTTAATATTAGATTAAGCAGCGCTGGTAGCTCAGTGGTTAAAAGGCATGGCTATTAAACAAAAGGTTGGGAGTTTGAACCCACCAGCCTCTCCACAGTAAAAGGACGGGGCAATCTGTTTCCATATGTACAGCTTTGGGAACTCTATTGAGCAATTATACTCAGTCCTATAGAGTCTAGAGGAGTTTTACTTGACTCAACAGTAGTGGGCTGGGTTTTTTTTAAGGGCGAAATAGTACTAACTTTGCAGTTAAGCAGTCTACCGATAGCCCATATCTCACTAGGGCTTCTTGAGTGTTACTTAGAGAAGATAAAAAGGGAGTAAGTCTTCTAGGCCAGTTCAGGAGGATTAGGATAAGTCACTCAGAAAGCTTTAAAAAAAAAAAGAGAGAGAATTCAAGTGTGGAGAAACTGAGACATCCATTTTATAAAGGTTGTAAAATAAAATGGTTTAAACTTTTACTTTCCATGGTAGACCCAATATCCTCATCCTACTTCATTGACAATTCAACTCCAACACTGTTCAAGTCCGCTCTTCCCTCTAAACCAGTAAGTCTCTGTCTCTCAAGCACAATGCGCGCGCGCGCGCACACACACACACACATTCCAGCTCCAAGGTAACTCCTGGTTGGTTTAAAACAGTGGTCCTCTAGAGAGTATGTGTGCTGGGGTGAAGGGGTAGTACACTAACAGTGCCTGTAATGTGCTAAGGACATTTAGTGAAAGGACCAGGGATGCTAAAAATCCAACAATGCACAGAAAACTACCTAAGAACTGCCCCAAAGCCTGACAAGCACTAAGCAATCATTGAAGTCCTGCCCGCCCCCACACACTTGTCATTTACAGCTTCAGAGATAAGCTAGTGACTCATTTCTATTCTAGACAGTAAGATATAAGGAGTTGCCTGTTATAGGGCCTTTGGGATGCTTTTCTCCTGTTAATGTTATCCCATCTATATGATACCTAGAACTGATTTCCCCCCAAACCAGCGTCTCTCCAATTTCCTTTGCATTGTTGGCACATCCCTTTTTGTCAAGTCTCACGAGTTGGAATTGACTTGATGGCAGTGAGAAAGCAATTCTTACTTCTACTAACTCTCAACCTTTGGGTAACTATTGATTCCAGTTGTTCCTGAGACAAAAAGATTCATTACTATCTGCCTTGTGATTAATATGGCTCCATTCCATGTCCAAGTGAGCTAGATTAAAGGATAGATTATATGGTCACCTTAGTTAAACCGAAGCAAGCCCTGTTCACTCTACCTCAAGAAACTAGCTATAATATAGAGGTCAACAACCTGTTTCTGCACCTCCCCAGAGCTATGAATAGGTTTTACATTTTTAAATGATTGGGGACAATGAGAATATTATTTCATGACAGCTGATATTACTTTGATTTCTAAATTCGGTGTTCACAAATAGTTTTGCTGGAACACTGCCATGCTCCTTTATATAAGTATTATCTACGGCAATCTACTTCAAAAAATCAGCCAAAGAAAACCCTGTGGATCACAATGGCACAATCCCATTGTGCATATAGGGTCACCACGATTCTGGCCAAATGGAAAGCAGCTAGCAACATAGTTGCTTTCACACTACAACAGAGTTGGATTGCTGGCAGGGGCCTAAGGCTTGCAGAGCCTAAAATATTACCATCTGGCCCCTTAATAAGGTGCACTGGTAGCATAGTGAATTAAGTGTTGGGCTGCTAACCACAAGAACAGCAGTTCTAACCCAAGGGCCACTCGGTGAGAGATGCTTTCTGCTCCCCAAAGATTGATAGCCTCAGAAACCCATAGGATAATTCCACTCAATCCATAAAATCACTCTAAGTCTGAAGTGAGTCTGGTTTTTTGTTTTGGCCCTAACAAATTTGGCGACCTCTGCTCCAATTCCACGAGTTGACTCTTCACTTGTTGCACAAATACAGCAGCCTACAAACTCCAATTCGCGCCCCACCCTACCCCGCCCCGCCCCATCCTCTTACCCCAAGCTCTCTCCAAATCTTTAAACACTTGGTTGCTAGATAATCTCTCTAGGAAAGTTTTCTGATCCTCACTTCGGAATCTTCAACTAAGAAAATACTGCCATCAATTCTGACTCCTGGTGATCCTATAGGGCAGGGGAGAACTGCCCTTGTGGGTTTCTGAGATTACAACTCAATACGGGAGTAGAAAAACCTCACTTTTCCCCTGCGGAGCAGCTGGTGGTTTCAAACTAATAACCTCTAAATTAAAAGCCAACGCGTGTAACCGCTATAGCACCAGGGCTCTGCCCATTGGTTCATCGGGATTAAAGGAAAACGACCCTTTTCTTGATGCACCGACATTCATGCATCACATCAGGTAGGTCTCATAAGTCCCCTCGACAAAATGGGAACAAACATGGAGCAGATGAAGCACGTCCACGACGTGCGGAAGGAGCGTCCCCCAAGTCTTCCCTGACCCGGAGGTGACAATTGGGCGAGAGGTTAAAGGGTGACTCAAAAGAACGAGCGAATATGACCATCTCATCCTTCCCACGTCCCTCCCGCTGCAGGGACTATGAGGCAAGAAATAACGCGTTCATAAGTCTGAAATCTAAAGAAAATCTGGCCCAAATCCCCAGGGAATGGCTGAACGGTAGCGCCCCTCGCTCTCCTTTCCTCCGGATGCCCAAGAACCCCAATTCGGGCTCCACCCATTCTTGTCGTGCCAGAAAGTCTCCACCTAGTCTCCAAAACTCCTGGGAGGCAGCCTTCGGTGAGCGCGCCCACGCTCCGGCTTCCTGACGACACGAGGACGCCCGGACGAGGAGCGCCCGCCATCCGACAGGGCCCGCAGTGGCACGAGTGAGCGCCGTAGAAGAGCTCCCGCCGGGCCCCGCCCCTGCAACCGCCCCACTGTGCGTGGACCTCCGAGGCGGGGCCAAAGCAGCGGCGGGAGCTCGCGGGCGAGAACCTAGGCCTGGGAAGGGAAGCGTTCCCGAGGCGCACGCGCACAGCGAGCAGAGTGGGCGGAGCGTGTCTGCCGAAGGATGTGCAGGGTAAAGGCGAGCACGTGGCGCTCCGGAATTCGCGCACGCGCAGTAGTCTCGCCCGGCTCGTACCCGCTCGCGCGCGCGCGCGCCCAGCCGGCTCAGCATCTTTTCTTCAGGCCCGCCCCACGGCCTGAAGCGGAGGCCACGCGCCACAGCAGGGAAGTGTGGGGCGAGAGGGGCGGGGCATAGCACGCGAGCGCGGCCAGCAAAAGAAGGGAGGGGAACGGAGAGAGCGGAGGCAACGTTACCCCGTCAACATCCAATCGGGTGCGGGCCGGACCCCGCCCCCTCCCCTCACCTTATTGGCTGGGTGGCCCCCACATGGGCGGGGCCGGCGGTGGAGTTGGGGAGGGCAGGGGGCGGGGAAGAGGAGGAAGGCGCTGGCGGGCAGTGATGGCGGCGGGTGATGGGGACGTGAAGCTAGGCACCCTGGGGAGTGGCAGCGAGAGCGGCAGCGACGGCAGCAGCGAGAGCCCGGGCGGCGCGGGAGCGGCAGCCGAAGGGGGCGGCTGGGCGGCGGCGGCGTTGGCGCTTCTGACGGGGGGCGGGGAGATGCTGCTGAACGTGGTGCTGGTGACGCTGGTGCTGCTGGGGGCCTACCGGCTGTGGGTGCGCTGGGGGCGAAGGGGTCTGGGCGCCGGCGCTGGGGCGGGCGAGGAGAGTCCCGCCGCCTCTCTGCCTCGTATGAAGAAGCGGGACTTCAGCTTGGAACAGCTGCGCCAGTACGACGGGTCCCTCAATCCGCGCATCCTGCTCGCGGTCAATGGGAAAGTCTTCGACGTGACCAAAGGCAGCAAGTTCTACGGCCCCGGTGAGGAGGAGAAAGGGGGGGGAGGACCCCTGCCGTTCAAGCACGACCCCCTTCTGACGGGATGGCCCCTAGGTACCGGGGTATTTTGCCCAGCCGTCGGCCGAGCCCGGCGCCTGGACTGCCGCACCTGGGACGGCCGGCCCCACGCACACACCCCCAGCCGCAGGCACCTCCAGCTTTTCTTCCAAGTCATGGTCCCAGTGGCTTCCCAGGCACCAGCTCCCAGGAATCATCCTTCTCGCATCCCATTTCTCTTCTGGCCTTTTCTGTTGCTGAATTCTTCAGTCTTTATAGCCCCTAGTCACACCGGCCCCCCAACCTTTCCTGAGCTTTCTGGTTATTAGGATGGGTGGGGGCAGGAATGAGGGGAGATGTCTAAAGTAAAGACACAAGAGATTTAGTTTGCTTTGCTTTGCTTTCTCCCCCCCACCCCTCCCTGATCTTCTCTTTCTGTACACTACTTACTGCCCAGAAAGCCACGTTTAGAAACACATAGTTCTAGGACCCAACCTGTGAAGTACAAACACAGAAACATGGAACTCTTTTTATTTTTTTTAAACCAGTTTAAGTTGGTAATAGCTTTCCAAGATTAACAACGTGGGATGAGAACAGACCTGAATGCAGTCTTTAAAGCCTGGCTACAGTATTCTCCCTTAGTTTTGGGGGTGGAGCTCTTATACCCAGCAGGCGTGTCTGTCCTGTCTTTTTTTTTTTTTTGGAAGGCGGGGCAGAAGGGGTGGAAAGTAAGAAGGCAAATATCCAAATACGTGTTGATGGGATTTACTGTGTTTTCATTTAGCTGAACTTGAGAGAAATCTACAAGAACTATAAGTTAATACCCCCATGCACCACTTCTGCAAGTTCAGGATTTTTAGAACTTTGCTTTCAGAGAACTTTTATGCGGGGTAGTTGATTTGGAAGCCTTTTTACCTTGTAGTTGTAGCATACATTTCATGTTCTAGTGAACTTTGATTCAGATTCATGGAACCTGTTGTTATACTGTGAAATAGAGCAACATCCTGCATTCTTTGTATGTAGTAATTAGTACTAAGCCTTTTTTTTTTTAATTTAAGTGACTACAGAAGACGGCATGATAAAAATTGGGGGGTCTAATGTGACCTTTTACTCAAAAGCAGGCCTTAAATTCAAGGGCATTGGCAGTGTAAAATCAAATTCATTCCCTCCTGTTAATACAGATTTGTTGACACATATATACTACCACTTTCAGTACTGTGGTTTGTTTGTCGCTAAGTCTAGAGATAAGAAATTGGAGGTCTTTAGTGTTGAAGTACTTAATTGATTTCTGAGCTGTTTGTATTTGTGTGTATATATCTATATTCAACCCAACCAAGTCATAATTTATAAGGTTCTTGCTTCTGCCTAGATTAATATGAACACCAGGTGTCTGCTGACTTATATCAGCACAAATGATTAATACTTCTTTTTATTGACTTTAGAGCATGTGGGATAAGAGAATGGGGCCAAAGTACAGTATTTAAACAGATAGGCCAAATTAAATAGTTAATTTTGTTAAACCCAGGGACTGACAGTATTTTGTACCTCCTTACCTTTATTGAATGCATACTTGTAAATTACCAGTTTAATAGACATGAATGAGATTTCAAATCTGCAATTGAGATTTTATGAAACGATATACTTTTTTAAAACTCTCCCCCATTGGTATTAAAATATCCATTTAGTAATTAGAAATTGTGTGCAGATTAAATTTTTTAGTGGCACTTACCAAACTAAAACATCTGCTTTTGCACTCCTTGTCTAAACTGGCACTAAAGATGTAGTCAAGGTGGGAGCCGGGAGGGAGGGGAAAAAATGAGCTTATACCAAGGGCTCAAGTAGAAAGGAAATGTTTTGAGAATGATGATAGCAACAGATGTACAAATGTGCTTGACACAATGGATGGATGTATGGATTGTGATAAGAGTTGTACGAGCCCCCCATAAATTTTTTTTTAAATGATGTAGTCAAGGCATATTAGTGCTTGCCCATTTAGGCCTTGCTACTCTCTGAAAATAGCTGTTAGAGACAGCCATAGATAGTTTGGCAGCCTCTGATAGCAAATGATATGTGACAAATTTAAAACTTAAGATAAGAGTCATAGGTGTAATGTGTGGCTTGAGCATTGAGGAGGCTTCCCATATAACAGAGAAGTCAGTCTCAGGGTAGCTTTCACTAGGTTGCAGGTTCTGATCAACAGCCTAAGGATGATGTTCAATTGTATTCCTAAGTATTTATCAACAGCCTAATAGAAATATTGATAATATTTTATTATTAAAATGAACTTTGAATAGCCTGAGCATTTTATGGACTTGGGATGTAGTAACACTTTCTAACAAAGTCTGGAAGCCATTACCTGGCTGTAAAATAGAAGTTTGGTTTGGGGGTTGATTTTCGTTTTCATCCTCAAATAAATTTAGTAGTAGAAAAAATTAGAGACAGGAATCATCTGAAAATTCTCAGTAGCTTGAAAGAATTATCTAAGCTAGAAAACCTGGTTTCTATGCTTAACTAACACCTTTCATTACACAATAATGGTTTTAGAGTTCAAGATTATTTTTGTGAGGTTTTTATAATATGGCAGAAATTTGTGGTTTTTAAGTTTCGGGTTCTTAAATACTGATAATTTAGTGAGGTAAACACATATTGGCAAGCAGTTGGTATTAACTGCATTTGTCGATATTAAATTTAGTAACAGTTCAAGCACTTGGCCAGCTTGTGGGGAAAGTATGGTCACATAAGAAACAATGACTGAGAAGAGAAAGGAAACCAGATTTGTGAAGCACCTGCTACATTGGATCCATTTGTTTGGCATTTCCACAATGCCCCAATAAGGTTGGTAGGTATTCCCATCCTACAGGTGCCCATAAAATGCATTGCTGAGAAGTTGATTCCAACCATAGTAACCCTATAGGACAGAGTAGAGCTGCTCCATAAGGTTTCCAAGGCTGTAAATCTCTACGGAAGCAGACTGCCACATCGTTTTCTCAAAGAGGATCTGCTAGGGACCCGCCGCTGATTGCTTACTGCTGCACTCCCAGGACTCCTTTGCCTACAGATAGGAAATATAAGATTCAGGTATCTTACATAAATTGGTTTGAGACAGACAAATATGATATTCAAATCCAGATATATTTAACAAAATCTGCCCACGGTTCTAGTAGTCAGCATTCTGGGTTAAACTTAAGTGACTCTGTTTTTCGTTTGTCCTCTTCTGGTTTCGATAAGGATTTAAATCCTCAAAGACACACGTTCATGACTATGTGCTGCCCGGTCTGGTTGCTACATGCCACATGTGGCTGTTTAAATTTATCAAAATTATAAAGTGAGTTTCTGCCTCAGGAGTTATTTTTAAGTGCCTATGTTACTGAACAGTATACATGATAGAATATTTCCATCTTCCCAGAGTTGTATAGCATTGATTCTAGGGGTCAGGGTAGAAGGAGGAGGGTACTCATTTACTTTTTATTACTGTCCCATAACCAAAAAAACCAAACCCACTGCCATTGAGTTAATTCTGACTCATGGCAACCCTGTAGGGCAGGGTAGAACTGCCCCTGTGTGTTTCGGAGACTAACTCTGCAGAAGCAGAAAGGAGTATCTTTCAAGCTGCTGACCCTGAGGTTAGTAGTTCACCTTGTAACCATTTCCAGGCTCCTTTGCGATCCTATAAAATAGGTGATGTACCCATTTTAGGGATGTAGAAATTCAATTTTTGCCAAAATCAATAGTAAGTAAGTGGCAAAACTAGAATTCAAACCCAGATCTAGGTGGTTTAACAAGCCATCCTTTCCCATTATAGTATGATTACAGTTATACATGTTTACAGGATCATAAATGAAGACTCCCAACAGGTACTATAATTTTTAAAAATTATCAAAATAAAATACTGCCAAGACAGTATTTTTATTTATGATAGCAAGAAAGTATACAATACCAAAGCCATATTTTCTCAATTACTACCTTACCATTTAAACTTCATTGAAAATAAAAAGAAATCACATAAGAAGTACCTCTTTTCCTAATATGTAGTAGCATAGGACAAGGATAACTACCTGTACCTTTCACCTTTTTTCACTTTTGAATTTTATCTTCACTGTGTTACTTTTTAATTAACAATTTGTAAAACTTCAGTTGTAGCATGTTCCTATAGGCCAAGCCCAACCTGCCATTTCTTCATAGATGTCCAAAAGTTGACTCTCCAATTCTTCTACACGCTTCTATTGAAGCAGATGATGAGGTTTGTTTGGATTAATGCCCATACCTACCCCGTAAAGCCAATTGCTATTGACTTGATTTCAACTCTTAGCAAATACCACCTCCCACCCACCCATCCAACTTGTGTCAGTAAAATTTTCATTAGTTGTTTGTTTTGGGAAGTAAATTGCCACACCTTTCTTTCAAGGTGCCCTTTGGTCAACTTGGACCACCAGCCTTTAAGTTAACAGTGGAATGTGTTAACTGAGTGTATCACCCAGGGCCTCTACCATTAACTACCAATTAAATAAAAGGATCAGTTTGACATGCCACTCAAATTTCAACTAGTTGTTTTTACAATATGGTTAACTCCTCTAAATTCAACATCATTTTACTGCATTTATTCTTTGAAAGACATGTATTCGTCTTAAAGCAAAAATTATAAACCCAAACTCATTGCCATCAAATTAATACCCACTCATAGCAACCCTATAGGACAGGGTAGAACTGCCCCCTAAAAGATTAAAGATGATCATCTTTAAAGGAGTAGACGGCTCCCTCTTTCTCCCAAAGAGTAACTGGTGGTTTCAAACTGCTGACCTTGCAGTTAGCATTCCATATTGTAACCACCACACCACCAGGGCTCCTAAAGCTATCAAAGATAGCTTAAAACAAATATGAAACCAGAGATATTAAGCATGAAGAAGGGAAAAATCTATTTACTAACGGTTAGTCATTCAAGTTCTTTAAATTCTACAATCTATGGATAGACAGCTTCTTCCCTGTAT